TCTGTTACACTTGTGACGATGAGGTTGGGAAGTGGGGGCCATATACGAAGACGTTATGGCTGTATTCTGTCGTAAGTGGCACCCACTTCCTAACCGTGTTCAAATCCGGGGTTCGTTGTGTGTTTGCTGTTCATATTGTATTCCATCTCTCTTACTCTGTCTCTCACTCACTCTCTCTTTCTCTCTCTCTCTCTCTATATATATATATATATATATACATATATATATATATATTTATATATATATGTGTTACACTTGTGACGACGAGGTTGGGAAGTGGGAGCCATATACGAAGACGTTGTGGCCGTATTCTATCGTAAGTGGCACCCACTTCCCAACCGTGTTCAAATTCGGGGTTCGTTGTTTGTTTGCTGTTCATATTGCATTTCATCTCTCTCTCTCTCTCTCTCTCTCTCTCTCTCTCTCTCTCTCTCTCTCTCTCTCTCTCTCTCATGAAAGCATGTCGGTCGTTACATGTTCTCACAAATGTCCATCATGTCTGTTGTTATAGATGGACGTTTCAAATGTGTCGACAACCGTGGCGGGTGAGAGTTTTGCAAGTACGACCGAAGACCTGCAACAACAAATATCGAACATCATGTTTGGAGAAGGCGCTAACAAGTTGTGCGATCTGAGTCCAGGGAGAGGCCTGACAGGAAACGATTCGAGCCAGGGACGCACGTTGGAATTAAAAACTGAGGAATTGTTGGGTGTCATTTGCGAGCATGCAAATGTGAACGTGGAAAAAAGGGAAGCGACAGACACCACAAACACTGCAAAGTGCACAGTTCCCTGGGATTGTATCACGAAGACTACAGCAGGAAACGAATTTGAGTACGATATTAATTGGGAACCTGGCAAGGTGCAACCAGGGTTGATCAGTGCTCAACACTGCATCGCGTTTAAGAGTGGTCGCACATGGGTTCCGTATCGTCCGCCAAAATTGGAGACATGGCGTTATATCACGGCAACCATTGTTTTCGACCGAGTGAAAAGGATAAACGGCGGGGTGGCGGTTGTGGATTTGGTCAAATACACAAATGTCCTTACTAAGAGATTGAGAGAGAATGGGGAGATACGACTTAATGATTTTTTTTATGATCGTTATGAATCGACCTGAGCAATGGGTGGTTTCTGATGACGGAAGAGGCGGAGATGATGTATGTGAGGATAATGATGCAAGACGGGATGCACGGTGGGGTTGGGTGCCGTCAACCATTCCTTGTGACTATGGGGAGATTAGGATTTTAGTCCGCGATCTCATGGGGAACTGTTGGAGTACAGTTTACATAAACGGCGAGTTCATCTCTCGTTGTTTGGACAGGGATCTGCTGGAGTCCGAAAAAATGTTTATGCGCATCGATGATGCCGCGGGAACGCAATTCACGATCCCGCTTGAAAACCCGGTGTTGTCACCAATTATAGAGAGGAAAGTTTTTTCTGGGGAGGATAACATTTGTCTACGACATGTAAGAGGCAGGGAGGTCACTTATGATGGTCTGTTCATTAGCATATGGGACCCGGATATGACAACGCCGGAGAGGGTGCATGACATTCACATATCCGGAACTGTCATTCCACAGAGTGAGTTCAACAAACATTCATCGACTGAGATGTACGGTTATCATGTGAATTGGGTACCCGGTGTCTTTCATCCCGCCATCTTCGAAAACAAAGTTACGATGGCAGGCAGATTGCATTCAGGCGAATGGCTACCTATGGGCTGGATACCTTCAGGTGTTGTTGAGCATTGACAATTCATGGTTGTTCTGGCTCGTGTGTCGTTGTGCAATTCTAGGGTGAACGACAAATCATTGTTACGCGAGCATGCAAAGATGTGTTGGGATAAAATAAAGGTGGAAGACCGTCAGATGGTATTGGTTGAATATGACGGGCGTGAAGATTAGAATATGTGGTCAATGCAGGGTGATGGTGTGGGCACAACATCTTTGAATGACACACCTCATAATTGTTTGAGGCTCATTCATCGCAGACACGGGCGAGCAGCACTACTTGGATGGGTACCCGTTGTGTGTCCCATGCGTTATGCGTGTGGGGCCGACGTGTCCATGGTCTTCAGAGACCCTCTCGCTATTTCGTTTTTTGTGACGTACTCAGATGGTTTGCTGCATCACATTCAGTACATGCCGGTGGAGGACATGGCAGGCAGCGATGATAACAGGGGCATTTCAGAACCTCATATTGCACGCACAAAACAACCGGCATGTGAGGTAAATGGACCGCCTGCAGACACGGACGTGGCATGTGCTGCATACAGACCAGCTGAAGACACGGATGCGGGATGTGTTGTTGTGGACAAGAGCAGACCACCAAGCGGCACGATAGACAGCGATCGTAGCTGGGAGATTGGACGAGGAATGAAGCGGAAGGCCACAAGCAGAAGAGACAATGGGGGAACACCGACACTAGCACAGAGGGGGAGGGGAGGAAATGGGAAGGGGGGAAGAACACCAATGGCACATAGACGAGGGAGAGGACGGGGGAGGGGGCCGGGAGGAGCAGCAATGGATGGCCCGGGGGAAACACGAGGGAAAATTGGTGGAAGGGAAGGGGTTCAGAGGCGCAATCGTCGACCTGGAGAGACTGCTGTGGCAGAAATGCGGCGGTTGCAACACAGCACAGACCTTTGCATCGCTTACAGACCATTTGTAAGGCTAGTGAAGGAGATTGTGCAGAAAGAAGAAGTTGCAACAAATCCAATGCGGTTCCAGATGCTTGTAATTCGTGCACTTCTCGAGGCAGCCGAAGCTTATCTCGTGCATTTGATGGAGAGCTCGAACGAGGTTGCAATCCATTCGAAGCGGGTGACGATCTTTCCAAAGGATATGAGACTTGTTGACGCGTTGCAAAAACCACGTTGGTGTGTCTTTATAAAAGGCATAACGGATGAGAAAGAAGTAGTCAGACAATGACAGGAGAGTAGGAGGGCAACTGCTAATGTCGCAAACACAGAACAAGCAGTGCACGAATCCGCACAACACCAGGATTGTGGGAAGGGCAAGGGGGCGTCCAAGAGGAAAGGAAAGCCAGTGAAAAGCACCGCTAAAAAAAAAAATAAAAAAAATTGATTATTTTCTGATAGAACTTGTGTGTGTGTGTGTGTGTGTGTGTGTGTGTGTGTGTGTG